TGATCCTTTTTCTTAAGGTTGTATGATCTATTTACAACCAAATGACAATCCTGTTATACTATGCACCCATTTATTATAGATAACATACTTCATAAAAGAACTTAATTGAAGTACCCTTTTGATAGCACTAAAATTGACTAATTTAAATTTCCATTGAAATTTATGAAATTATAACTAAAATGGTTGAATTGGCTAAATTATGAAAAACTAATACTCTCTCCGTGCCATAAAACTTTGCCAAATTTCTTCTTTGATCGTTCCAAAAAAGTTTGCCAATTTCATTTTAAAATATGAAATAAGTGGTTGAAATTAATTTTCTCTCATCTGCACAAAATCTAAACTACACATTTTTTACTTTAATATTTTACGTAGAAGTCAAAGTTGGCCAAGTTTAGTCATTAGTGAGGCAGATGGAGTATCTAAAATTATTTGATTAATAAAGTACAGAACACATTATATGAACAAAATAGCTAACATCGTCCTTTAGGCAAACTTAGTCAATCCAAAGTAATTTAAACCTAATTTATTTCTATTATTACACAACTCAACGCGTAAAATAAAAATTACGCCTTTTGATACGACTTAAAAACTACCAAAATAATCATCAATGTATTGAATTTCAAATAATCATAAATCAGGCTAGTTAAAAACTAAATATAAAGAGTAAAAGCAACAATAAAAAGGAAAAAGGCTGTATCGTGATATTCTACCACTCCAAGGCGACTTAGGGTTGGTTTGCAACTGCTTTTAAAAAAGCACTTCTCAGCTTTTGGCTTTAAAAAACACTTATTTTCCCAAACACTACAACTTTTATTTTTCTCGGCTTCCACGTCAAAAGTGCTTTTACTTTTTCTATTACACAAAAAACACTTATTTTACCAAACACTACCCACTTTTACTTTTCAAAATCACTTTTTTCTCAAACACTATCAACTTTTATTTAATCACTTCTCCCCATTTCATTAAAAAAAGCACTTTTTTAAAAGCAGAAGCTGTTGCAAACAAGCCCTTAAACAGATTCATGATCCATGTTCTACTGTCCAGACGCTCATTCCATCTCTCTGGAGCTTCATAGTCAAATCACATTTTCTATTTTTTCCCTATTTTAAAACAAATTTCAGACTATTTTATGGGTACTCTGCCAATTCCAGTAGCGCAGTGAAATCATGGGCGAGGTGGTGCAGCAGAAGACGTTAGTTTCAGCCGGTGTGGGGAAGGAACTGATGCAGAAGCTTTGAACTGGTAAACTGGGAAGAGGCAGGTGAATCGTACGGGAGATAAAATTAGATATTTAGGGCAGGATGAATGAGCGGAAAAAAATTCTCGAATCCTCTATGTATAGTAATTAGTATTTCTAGGTTTTTGCAGCTTAAAGAAGTTTTGCACGTTTCCCGTACAAGTATATCTCCTTTGTTCTGTCCTCATACTATGCATTAACGAAAGGAGTAATTTTTTCTCAAACTTAAAAACAAACCGTAGTAGGTAGAAGGTTCTGAGAGGGAGCCATGTAAGGAGAATGTACGAGAGGAGGTGGTGCATGGCGTTTCAGCTGAGGATTCCAAGTTCGAGTATAAACATGGTCACATGGCGTGTGTTGAGAACTTTTGGGAAGATGCCTGGAAATATCGTGATGGTAATATTGTGCTTTTACTTCAAATTTTTATTCTCGCGTAAGACATGATATCATTATGTTTGAAAGTTTGACGTTAAACCACTTTATCACTTATTTTGATGTCAAAATACAAAAAAAATAATTACATCATTAAAATAAAGATTGTTTACAAAAATGTGACTCGTGACTAGAGTAATAATGTATTAACTATATATTATTAATACATTACATTGTATTAACTATTAGTCATATTTGTGTTAATAAGTTTTATTTTAGTCACACACATACACAGTGCTTGATTATAGTTTGCCTGTTATTTTTGTGGTTACTATACAACAGTGGCGGATCTCGGTTCCAAATATAGGGTGTTTAAAATAACTTTATTGACTACTGATAAGTCTGTATTTAGACACGCATTTGATGTGTGTTGGGATTGGATTTTGATGGTTTTTCCAACTTTAATGTGTTGCAAGTCTCAATTTTAGCTCAAGTTATGTTTACCGGGCGTTGGTTCGAGTTTTGTGTTGTTTGTAGTCAAAATTAGGGAATTTGAGCCCGGTACCGGCACTTGAGGAACAATCGGGATGATTTGAGAAGCATCTGAGAATGATTTGAACTACCCAACAATATTACTTTTGTAACTTTTCCTAACATTAAAAACCCCGTAAATAAGGTTAAAGCAAGAAATATTTCATAAAAATAAAATATACGTAGTATAAATTATTACATCAATTTTATAGATGTATTTTTACATTTTGTTTTCACAAATTTGGGTGTGAACACCTTTGAACAATATAGGTTCGTCCCTCCTATACAACCTACTATCTCACTTCTGGTTAAACATTATCATAGGTAGAGCCGTAGGGGTCCTATATTGTATAGATTATGCACAATGAGGATTAATTGTTTTGCAATTGTGCAGTGGATGTCATTCTATTTAATCTTGACCCGGATAATGATGATCTTTTGGACAAGGTATAAATTTTCAATTCTTTTCTAATAATTCGGAGATTATTATTTTTACATGTACTACTTAGTACTACTTCTTTTCCATTCTACTAATTTTTCAATTTTAAATAATTAATTGCTTTTGTTGTTCGCAGAGTGTTTGTTGAAGCACAAATTACTTGCATTCTTCTTCTCATTTCTTGAATTTAGGGTTTTTAGACATGGGTAAGATGCATAGGCAGTGAAAATGGATTGCAAATATGGGCAGTAAATATGGCAATAAATAGTGATGAAAATAGACAACGAACATCAATGCATAGTGTTGTACATGGGCAGTGAATGAAAGCATTGAAAAAAGTGTTATGCAGTGAATTGAATGCAATAAATTTTGGTGGGAAGTGCACTGATTATGATGAGTAGTGCAGTAACACAAAGCAGTAATATATCATGAAATGTAATATACTTAATTAGAAGTAAAATAATAAAATTATTAAATCTAAAAAATAAAAAATACTACGTAAAAACTAAAAATAAATTTCACAAGTGAATAAGAAGAGAATTAATTTTGGCGGAAGTGCAGTGATTACTACCGGATGTGTAGTAATGTCATGCATTAATGTCGTGCAATAACAGCAATACAAAGTGTAGTAATTTTAATTAGACAAAATTAGTACAAAGTGCACATATTTTAATTAAGGGCATTTTCATCATTCAATCTTTAAATATAAACGAAATTTCTATTATTTTTAATTTCCGGTCATAAAAAGGTATAAAAACTAGTTAGGTCATAAATTGAAAAACTCATTCAGTTTTAGTCCTATCCTAAGAAATTTCCCCTTCTTAGAGCTACCAATAAACGGAGTAACTAACTACCTAAATTCAAGCAAGATGTTTGAGTTTACCTTTCCCAGATATTACTTCTTTCTCAGTTCTTGTGCAAGAATAAGCTTAATGTTGTCCAACACCATTCATGAGAAACTAAAGTGTCAAGGGCAAGAGATTAAAAGGCCAATGTGCACAAAGAAAAAATACTATTGCTACACTTCAAATTCAAGTTCCAAAATCTTTGAAGGGGATATACCTTCCCGTTCTTGTAATGTGTCATATCAGCTATGCAATATCTTTGAAAGATTAAGGAAATCGTAGAATAACCAACCAATGAATCCAGTGAATGGTGCAGCAGAAAATCACAAGCAACTTACTGAATCAGTGAAATAAAAAAGAATAAAGAAAAAGATGAGCAATCTGGGGTTTCCTTGTGATAGGAACAAAAAAATAAAATCAACGGGGTGAACCGTTGCCCAGATAATCAACGATAAATAAATACTGTTGTCCAGAGCCAAAAGGCTAAACCAACTTTTATTCCCAGATGATCAAGAATGAAACATACAAGGGGTATAAATAACCTTCTAGGTCTAATAAGAATAGGAATCCTAATTAAAATATTCTAGGAAACTGAATGGAATAGGAAACCTCTAGTTCTAATAGAACTCCTAATTAAATCATTCTAGGAAACTAAATAGAAATAAGAAACCTCTAATTCTAATAAGAATAGAAGTCCTAAATAAATCCTACCAGGAAACAAATTAAATTAGAAAACAAAATAAAAGGAATAATAAATATTAATTAAACAGCCCGCAACCAGCCCACGGAGGTGGGCTCAAGCCCGTCCCGCCCCATGCTCTTCCCGCTTCATATCACTTTGTCATGGGAAAATGTGAGCGCAGAGGGTTGCAGCAGCGACCATTGTCGTTGGGTCAAGAATAGTTGGGAGTGGGCAGAAATGGGTGGCTGAATAAAGATGGATAGGTTACTCATGTACTCAATATTAATGCTTAGTAATGAAGTTATTTGGTTTCAAAAAAACATTTGTGTGTTTTCTATTTAAAAAGAATGTATGCGCGCATTTTTTATGCCTCTTGATCATGTACCACCGATTCAAACGGCTATTCTCCATTTGAAATTAAATGGAAATTAATAATCCAACCTTTTAGCGGTCTTTTTACAATAGTCCTACCTTTTGATTATTCATGAATAATCCAACCTTTGCACCTCATCTTCATTCACTGGTCCCTGACCAGTTGATGACCTGTTATTCCAAGTTATTTTCTTATCTTTGCAAAATATTATCTTTGTGAAACGTGAGATTTATGGTATAATGGTTTACAAAGATAAGAAAATAACTTGGAATAGCAGGTCATCAACCGGTTAGGGACCAGTGATTGAAGATGATGTGTAAAGGTTGGATTATTCATGAATAATCAAAAGGTGAAACTATTATAAGAAGACCACTAAAAGGTTGGACCACTGATAAAGTATGCAAAGTAAATTGTATTGCTTCTGTTCTGCTAAAATTATACGAAGTACGTAGTATCATTTTTTTTATGATCTGCTCCAATAAAATTATCACATACAGAGTATCAAATTTGAAAAAATTGGCTGTGATTCTTTTTTTGAAAACAAAATTGGCGTGATTCTAAATTTGGTATCATTCTAAATCCTTCCTACTATATTCATATACTACCTTTTTCTATAAGTGCAATATACAAGATGCTCTGTGTATACAAGTCTACAGGATACTGCCTTTCTTCTCCCAGTTGATAAACAACAATTAGCAAATCCGAAGCAAGATACTCTGTATATGCAATAGTACTACGCTGCAGATTGCTCAGACATTTAATGAGCATTCAATTCGCAGACATTTAATGAGCATTCAATTCGCTAGTGCGTCCTTTCAGCCAAGCTCTGCAAACACCCGTTTATATGACCCAAATCGTTTTTTATCCATAAATTTGGCCGGGAAACTATCCTGGTTTAAGAAGTAACATATATAAAGATTCAGGCACACGTTTTACCTTCACAGTTTGGACCTGGGAGAGTGACAGAAACAAAGATGGGAAGGAAGGAAGATGACGGTCCAGTGGAGCTAAAGGCCGGAGGAATAGTGGTTGTGAACCCAAAGCCGCAGGGTAGCATGATCTCCAGTGCTATAGATTGGTTGGAATGGATGATTGTTAAGATAATGCACGATTCTTCTAAACCGCTTCCTTATCTTTCTGGTAATTTCGCTCCTGCTCCAGAAGAAACCGCTCCTTGTAAAGACCTTCCGGTCATTGGCCAGCTTCCTGTAAGTTAGACATTAGTGCTTTTTTTTTGTCACCCTGTACCTTATGAGATTAGAACTTATCAAATTGAGTGAGTTCCTTTTAATTCAAGAATTCTTGTGAACACACATACATAGGCTGGCATATTAGGGATGAACAAAAAAAATCGAAAAACGGAAACCTCCCGACGAACCGACCAAAACCGAAACCGACTCAAACCGAAGCCGACAAAGACCGATCAAGTGATCAACCATTGGCGGTTCGGTCTACGATTTTGTCTTTTGGGTTAATAAAGGGACGGAACCGAAACCGACCGACAAAAACCCGACAAAAATATGTTAAAACCAAACAAAACAGACAAAACCGATCGAAACTAACCGAACTAAAACCAAATAAAAAATTCAAAACTGACTCAAGTAGTGCGGTGCGGTTTACGGTTTGACCTTTTCTAAAACCGAAACCGATAAAATCGAAACCGACTAAACCAAACCGACATATATACCAGGCTCATATGTGATGATTGCCATTTTTGAAGGATGAGCTTGTAAGTGAAAATTTGATATCAAAGCTTAAATTTTTATTTACATGACATGATTTAAAAGATAGACTTTAAGAACTCGGTACTATTGATCTGTTCTTTTATATGGCTGATCAAGTCAATTCCATACCGAAGAGCAGTGGAGGACCTAGGGGACTAGGGGACAAAAACTTTCCAGTGTCCCCCAACGTAGACAAAAACCGATCAAGTGATCAACCATTGGCGGCAACCATTGGCGGTTAGTATACTAAGGGAGTGTTTGGGATTGATTAAAAAAAGCGCTTTTCAGCTTTTGACTTAAAAAAAGTTGAAAAGAGTGTTTTCAAATGATAGCTTCTGCTTAAATTAATCACTTAAAAGCTAAAAGCTGGAAGCAGGTAGAAGGGTGCTTTAAACTGCTTCTCACTTTTTCTATTACACAAAAAGTACTTATTTTACCAAACACTACCAACTTTTACTTTTTCAGAATCACTTTTTTCTCAAACACTATCAACTTTTACTATTAATCACTTTTCCCAAAATCACTTTAAAAAATCACTTTTTTAAAGTTGAAGCAATCGCAAACACTCCCTAAGTATGTTTTCTCTTGGACTGTTTTCAGTCCCAGACCAGACCAGATCAGACTTAAACAGACCAGACCAGACCAGACTTAAACAGACCAGACTTAAACAGACCAGACCAGACCAGACTTAAACAGACCAGATCAGACCAGACCAGACTTCCGTAGTTATAGAATACACAGAGACCAGACGTTTACCAGACCAGACCAGTTCAGACCAGACCAGACCAGACTTAAACAGACCAGACCAGACTTAAACAGACCAGACCAGACCAGACCAGCAAATTTCAGTCCAAAAGAAAACATCCTAAAACATCAGGGTTATTTAAATTAAAATTTTAATAATTTTTTTTTTAAATTTGAGCTTAGTTAAAATAAAAGATAAAAAGTTCTCAAAAATTTAGTGAGTCAAACATAGAAGTACTCACTTGTTTAGCATGTCTTGATCCTAAAGTGAACTTCTCCAACTTCTCCGATTTTTCATCTATTGATTGAATGGAGCTGAAAGAGTATCTCTAGGTGTGGAACTGTGGACCGTGGATATATAAAACGAGAACATATGAATTATTTTCTGTCATACAAACTATGGGTGAAGTTTGTTGAAAGATGGTTGAGCCTAAAGTTAGTGTGATATAGTACCACCAGTCCTAAATTGGTTTGCCGATTTCAGTTTACACAGTAATGAATCTGGAATTTACATGCTTAGAAATTACGCTGAAGAATAAAAAAAGTTACATTGGCCACATGAATAGTAAAATTGTAAATCATTTATGGACAAGAGGGAGTATATACTCAGTAGTACGGATTGTCAGTTTTTTTGTAGTTGCAAACTAATACTCCATATATGATTCATATAAGTAGAACATTTCGGCAAAATGACTCTTGTGGCATAGAGGATTTGTTGAGCTAATGGTGATGACTTGATGTTGCGGTAAAAAATATAGCCAGTTACAATCGCGACCTAGCTAAGTGGGAATATGGTTTGCTACTTAAGTTCATGCAATTAAACGTTGAAGTAGTGTTAGAATGCTTTTCTCTTAGTGTGATATGTTCATAATGTGCCCTATGTATGTTTGAAGCATCGTTGACACATGTGATGAATGATGAGCTCAGATGCCGCAGTAAATGATAGCCCAAATTGTGAATAATATATTTGTAGGAATGCCTCAATGGTGAGTTTGTCAGACTTGGTCCCAATCCAAACTTCACTCCGGTGGCTGGCTACCATTGGTAAGTCCTTTTGTTATCTCAATTGGATCTTTCAATATCCATGATCCCGTTTTATTTTCCTATAAAGAGTTGCCAAACATTCTTTCCCCTCCGTCTAGCATACATTTGAGTAATGGCAAATATTTTCTAAGTTGTGGCATTGGCTATTTTCTATGAACAGTAAAGCACCAATGTTGTAATATTAGGTCACAAGCTTATACTCGGCTTTCTTATTTTCAGGTTTGATGGAGATGGGTGTGTAGATTTCTCCGACTTCACTTCTAAGCACATTTTAATTTGTATTACTTAATTTAAACTATGATCTGCAATTGCTGTCCTTTTTGTGCAGAATGATTCATGGCTTGCGCATCAAAGATGGAAAAGCAACATATGTCTCCCGTTTTGTGAAGACATCACGTCTGATGCAAGAACAGTTTTTTGGAGGAGCTAAGTTTATGAAGGTGTGGTTTGAATTGAGACTCCCACTTTGCAATTTTTTTGTCCCCGAATAAAGTCCTTTTAAAAAAAGAAGCTAGCATTCGTTATATGTAATCTATCGTTTCATTATACAACAACAACATCCCAGCCTTAATCCCAAAATATCGATCCATAATATCGATGCCAAAAAGAGAAGACAAACAAGAAGAAAAAAAGGATAAAACGAAAAAGATAAAGATAAATAAATATAAGATAATAATAACATAAGAATATAAGAAAGATAAAAGATTAAAAGATAAAAGAGCATTAAAAAACTAGAAGATGAAATTAACATAAGAACATAAAAAGACAAAGAATATAAACGATAAAAGAAAAAGAGAGGAAAAAAAGAAAAGAGATCAATCGTCCACATGAATGTGCGTCCTCCACTTTGCCCTCTCCAAAACCATACTCTCATCCAACCCAAGAAGACGCATATCAGTTCTGATTCCTCTAATCCAAGTTTGTTTGGGTCTTCCCCTCCCTTCCATCTCAGTTTCATCTCCTCACCCCTCAAGTCGCCTAACAGGTGCATCACTCGGTCTTCTACGCACATGCCCAAACCACCTCAAATGAGACTCCTGCATCTTATCTTCTATAGGTGCTACTCCCACCTTTTTTCTGATTATCTCATTCCCCACGCGGTCTTTTCTGGTATGTTCACACATCCAACACAACATACACATCTCTGTCACACTCATCTTTTGAATGTGACATTTTTTTACCGCCCAACACTCTACGTGTTAAATGTCTTAAACAGTTTTATATGTTACTACCTCCGTCCCTCTAGCATTGAGACATGAGGAGGTGGTGCGGTTAAAAAAAGTGGGTTTATGTAGTTGATATTGAATTGATAAAGTAATAATAAAGTAAGATTGATTTAAAACCACACAAATTTTACCAAATTTGGTATGGGACGAAATGAAAAGGAAAGATGAGACAATCTTAGTGGGATGAAGGGAGTATATTTAGTTAAACGAATAAATAAATTAATTGCAGCAATGGTTATATACACCCTTGTGGGAACCTTCCTAGACCCTCTTCTTGCAGTGATGCCAATATGCACTGAGCTCCCCCTTTGGTGTATATTGACCTAAAATTCAATCTTGTGTTCCGCATCCACTAAATATAAGTTTTCTTCTTCCATATGGAAAAAAGGAATAAAGAAATCAATCAAGATTCGGGCGGCTTCATGAAGTGCTTCTTTTGGTGTTAAACTTCCATTTGTCCATATTTCCAAAAAAAGTATCTCTTGCTTTTCAGAAAATTACTAATATCTCATGATAAATACCGTGGTTAAATCCAGAAAGATCCCTTATGTAGCAATTGTTATTATTTGTGGAACCCAAAGCTATAAAATGGCCTCATAAATACCGTGTTATCATTTGCAATGGAGCCAAAGACTCACTATGTTTTGGCTTGAAAATATGATGGAATAAAACAAAATAGTTCATTCGAAAACAGTCTCTCCGTACTTTAGTAGAGTAAGACTG